ACATCACCGTCAAAAGTCGCCGAACCAAGGCCATCCTACGGTGGAAACGCAGTCGCGCACGCCTGGACGGGCCGACTTGGGTTGTCCAACGGTGTTTTTTTCCGAAGAAGATATGGGGAATTCTACGAGAAAATATGGGGATCAAGAATGGAATATAGGATATATATATATATATATGTGTGTGTGTGTGTGTGTTTGTGTCCCTCTCATCATTGGTGGATGGCCAACGAAGAGGCCAATGATGAGAGCTGCAAACGTACCTGCGACCTTCCACCTTCGGACATGGCCAACTTGGCTAAGCCATAAACCACCCATGCAGACATGACATGCTAACATGATAACTTGACATTACATGATTTCATCTCATCTCATTTCACCCTCTGCCTTCCGGGTGTGTCCAAGTGTGTCTTCTCATGCGCCCGGATCTCTGATAAAGTGCCGGGGAAGCTTGGTGGTGCGTCCACCGGGGATACCAGATTATTCGCACAAGCATCCAGATTTCGCACAAGCATCCAGAATTCTCCATCAGAAGCAGAATTTCTCAGAATTTACCAGACATGATGTTGCCAGAAGCAATATTCGCACAGAATTCGCCAGATTACATGTTCAGAATTCGCCAGAAGTACAGATTTTTCATCCCTCAGAATTCCCCGTGTCATCCATGATTCATGTTCACCTAGCAGTCATGTCAAAACCAAGCACTGAGATAAACAGCACCATGCCGTTACCAGCCTTTTTTTTGTCGGTCGTTGGTTGCTTGCTGAACAGCCGGAAATTTTGATGCAGTGGTTTGCTTTTGTCAGCCTTCTTCAGTGGAAATTGAACTGAACGCTGTGAAACTTCCTTGGAATTTTGTTTGGAGCTAGCAAAACACCACACCTCATTGGTGACACCCACGACCCATGTACACAGAGATTTGAGCACCACGTTCCATGTCACAACCCAGCACTGAGGGAAACAGCACCATGCCGTTACCAGCCTTTTTTGTCGGTCGTTGGTTGCTTGTTGAACAGCCGGAAATTCTGACGCAGTGGTTTGCTTTTGTCAGCCTTCTTCAGTGGAGATTTCACTGAACGCCGTGAAACTTCCTTTGGTTTTTGTTGGAGCAAGCAAAACACCACACCTCATTGGTGACACCCACGACCCATGTACACAGCGATTTGGGCACCATGTGCCATGTTACAACCCAGCAACGAGGGAAACAGCACCATGCCGTTACCAGCCTTGTTTGTCGGTCGTTGGTTGCTTCTGAACAGCCGGAAATTCTGATGCAGTGGTTTGCTGTTATCGGCCTTTTCCGTGGAACTTGCGCTGAATGCCGTGAACTTCCCTTGGTTTTATGTTGGAGCAAGCAACACAACGTCACAGACATTTGAGCACTATGTTCCATGTCACAACACAACACCGTGAAAAACAGCACACTAGATTAAGGACCATTTTCTGGTTCGAAAAATTGTGCCCCAGCGGCTTGCTGTGTGTGGAAAGCCCTTCAAAGGGTATCAGCAGGGGGCCATCCCTCTCATCATTGATGGATGGCCAACGAAGAGGCCAATGATGAGGGCTGCAAACGTACCTGGGACCTTCCACCTTCGGACATGGCCAGGTGGCTAAGCCATAAGCCACCCATGCAGACATGACATGCTAACATGATAACTTGACATTACATGATTTCATCTAATCTCATTTCACCCTCTCCCTTCGGGGTGTATCCAAGTGTGTGGATTTACCATGATATATAATAACCCCATGGTATTCAACTAATATATTAATACCCATTTTGGGAATGGGATCATCTGGGATTGGCAATGGGATCATAATGGGATGTCATTATTAATGGGAGATTAGTGGAATATCATGGGATTGATGGAATCAATCATGGGGAGTTACCCTTTGGCTATTTGCGGCATTGCGAACTGGAAAATCACCATGCTAAAAATAGCTAAATCACAATTTTTATCAGGTATAAATTGGCCATGGCTTACATAGCTATGTTAAATAACCAGATGGTGATTTGAACACCATTTCCAAATGAGATCATGTTCTATTAGAACTTAAACCTAACATGACTAAACATCAGATGGAAAACTAACATGACTCAACGATGAAGTTTGTCACGCTTTATTTAGATTTGCCAACTATATAAGATATTGTCTTGATGATCTTACTAGTATCGGATGAAGAATTAAGCCCGGAAGTGACCAACTCTGGCCATGTTTTGCGATGTTTGCCTATGGTGGGTTGGCATTTGCCATTCTCAGCGACTGCACGGCTAGTGCCCCAGCGGAGCCCCTGAGCCATGTCCATTGGCTGTATAACACATCAGTGGCACAACGTCGACAATTGAACCGCTATTCAGGATGATAGGATGTGTATTTGCACAGTCTTGATGGTTATAGTAGCCCCCTTTAAAAAAAGATGGAAAAGGTCAAAGTTACATGAATTTAATTGAATTTATCTCTAATTTATATATACTATTTTTGGGGGATTGGATAACACTTGAAATTTGTCTATTGGGTGGGTTGCAGATAAGAGGAGACAGTCCTTCAGCTTGTAGGACTTGGGGCAGCTGGAAGGTGCCATCGAAGATAGTCAGGCGCCTGCCGGGGCAGTTTTTCAGTGAAACCGGACCCCCAGTGGTTGTCATAAAAACCATGGTTTCCGGCTAAGATTATCATAGATTATCCCTCCAACAAATTGACTGATTTTTTTGAGCCATATTGTGATATATGTTGATTATTTGGCCTATCCCTCCAAGAAATCGATTGAACATGTTAGCCATATTTACCCCCTAAGCAATTTTGATAGGGCAAAAGATGGTGAACCAGTGCATGGAATGGGCGACAAATGCAGATGAGATTTGCCAGTCTTTTGGCTGAAGCGATGTGCCGAATTTCTGCTGAAGGGGGAACATGTCGATGTTATTTTCCTTTGGATGATGTAGTGGAAGATACATCGACCAATTACATCATAATTAATAGACATTATATAATAGATATAAATAGATATTAATTGTTGTTTTCATGTGTTTTTTTCCGAATGTTTTTTTGGCAAAAAATCTGAGGGCATTTGTGTTGCTCTCCTGGGGTACTGGCAGCTCCAGGCCGCGTTGCGGGGGAGCGAGCTGTCCGAAAAGGTGCGAGCAGATTGCTGGCTGGTCAGGAGCCAAGTGGTCTTCACAAAAAAACCTGGCAAGCTGGAAAAACACCCATTTATAATCATATATATATATAATGTACTAATCTATCTAATCTATTTGATCTATCTAATCTATCTAATCTGTCTATCCTATCTAATCTATCTATATAATCAATCAATCTATCTATCTATCTATCTAATCTAATCTAATCTAATCTAATCTAATCTAATCTAATCTAACTATCTAACCTAATCTAATCTAATCTGATCTAATCTAATCTAATCTAATCTATCTATCTATCTGTCTATCTGTCTATCTCTCTATCTATCTATCTATCTATCTATCTATCTACCTACCTACCTACCTACACACACATATATATACATATATATAATGTTAGTTTCCTTAAATGGGTGGTATAACCATCAAAATATGGCTGGTTTATTATTGCTTTACCAACATTAGACAATTATCATCGATTATCCGTAATATGTTCAAATAAAATGTTGGTACCTAGTTTTCAGTCAGCTTTCGGCTTTGACCTGGCCCAGTGTCCCCGCGAAACAGACCTCCGTGTGTGAAGAAGTCTGGTTGCTTGGCCCAGACCACAGGCTTCCAAATATCGATGGTAATTTACCTCTGATTTTGGAGGGTCAATGGACATTAATGTGGGTAAAACAGTGCCACAAACCATCCCCCAGTTACCATAAATATATTACGGTGGTATATGGTTACCATTCCCAGTCATAGGTAGTTTATGACCTTGTTTTACCTACATTAACCACTATTAACCATTATTAGCATCTATTAACCACTATTAACCATTATTTTAACCATTATTAACCATTATTGACCATTATTAACCATCATTGTAACCACTATTAACATCTATTAACGACAATGAACGACTAGGATCAAATGCATCATTTTTTCGCGGATTTTTCCCTGGGATTCCATGGCGCGTCCTTTTAGGTCACGGCTTTAGCCAAGATGCGTTGGGGTCGTCAGAGCGTACTGCCACGCCATCGTGCACCATCATCAACCAATTGCAAGTCTGCATATATATAATTATACGTATATGATATAGATATAAATATACATATACATATAACACACATATATATATATATATATATGTATGTATACATATACATATGTGATACACACATATATATATATACACATACATTTGTGTGTGTTATAGGCATATGGTTCACAAACCCGGTTTCGGTTGGGTGTTCATTTTAAGATGGGCTCCAGAATAAATCATCCCCTGTTGAGATTTGGGACTATTTACAATATGATAACCCCCACATGGTTGATAGTGTCAGTTTATGATGGGACTTACCACATTCAATGAACCATGGCCATGACGCCAAGATGCGTTGGATAAGAAAAACCACGAGATTCCCGTGAATCTCTAAGCAATTTTTTTGTTTGTTTCACTGGAGGTGGAAAAAATCCTTGTTCACCACGCTGTTGCCGCAGCCAGCAAAGCTCTGGCTGAAGAGCCGATTAAATCATGCAGCTCGATCACGGAAAATGTGGTAGGTAGAAGAACCAAATCATGGGCATATCAGTAAATGATGGGAAAATCACTTGCCACCACTGGGAAACTGGTGTAAATGTTGATGCCACAACTATTGGGATCGCCTTCACGGGTGAGACATTCCACCTGAGACCTCTGAACTGTGACCTGAGACTGGCTCATATTTTTTGTTGAAGCCTTGAGCTCTGAAAAAAACGTGGTTTCACATGGTTTGAAATCCGCTTTTGTAGCCGTTAGTCAACTGATCATTATATCGCTCCAAAGCCGCTAGTGGACGAACGCCTTGGGCGGCGATCATACGAAGCCACATGAGACATGCGTCCAGCCGGGCTCCTAAGGGCTCAGATGGCTAACATGGTTGGAATTGCCTTGAGGTCATTGGGCTGTGGACTTCAAGGATCATATTTTCTTCTCCAGGGAGAAACAGATAGTCCCAGCTTACTCGTGATATTTTGGGATGGTTCGAGACAAATTTTGAGACTGCAGGTCGCTGATAAATCTGATAAAACATAGATCCAGCAGTTGTCCTGCAATTTGGCTGAGGTTTTCCGGATGGATATCAATAGCTTTCGTGTTTGGTGGTTAATGTGGTTAATGTGTATATATATATGTTAATATCAATGACAATCACAATTAACAAGCTGTCCATGATAATTGTGTTCAATCATCACACATGAAAATCCAGCAATTGATGCTGAATATCAATTACCACTATCAAAAAGATTTAAGGTCATCATGACAAAACAACTATATAAAACCATATATATATATATAATGTCACAACATTTAACAACTATAATTACTATAATCCGGTTAATTTTAATTTCTTCCAGAAAAACCTATAAAAACCATATATTTATATATTTCTTTCATATCTGGTCAGCCTCCAACGTTCCAACTCGGCTGAGGTCCCTTTGGGCCTCAGCTTGGCCGGCTTCGCCTCGGCTGGGCCGGCGGCTCCCAGCTCCAACCATCCAGCCTTCGATCCAGGCGATTCGAGGGTTTTTGGCCTTAAAAAAAACACGGGTTTTGTGGGAAATACCCTTTGGTTATTTAATATAGCCATGGAAGATCACCATTTCTATATACATCATCTATAAATGGGTCATTTTCCGCTATGTTAAATAACCAGAGTGTAGATGGAAAATCTTAGGAAAATTAATCATTAGTTGAGATATGTTGAGATGTTTAGTGAAGATGATTGTTGATGGATTTTGCTGAGCTCAGGGGTCTGAAATGGTCTGAAGGCGATTTGTTCACCACAGTTGTTTGGGTGGAATTGTGCAATGCCATATGCCTCATTCAACCAAGGACCTCAGTGGCCGAAGTGGTCCATAAAAGAAATTGTCCCCAGATGCTGCAGGAAAGCATGCGGGTAAGATGATGTGAGATGGTTTTCGGAAAGACATAATGAAATCTTCAAAACCACTTCAAAGGGAGAGTCATCTTTTTTTCTTTGAGCGGGTGTGCTATTTGACTGAAATCACCATCAGCAAGCTGCGCAGGAGAGCGGAAGGTGAACAAAGAGCACATTGGAGATGGGTGGAATGGCTGCAAGATTTCATTGAGACCAAAGGCCTCCGTTTTTTCAGCGGCAAGGCCTTCTCACATGTGGTTTCGAATGCTACCCAAACACTCGGATTTGAGATGCCATCCATTCAAATCTGAAGTACTTGCTCATGACACTGGAAGAAGGTTGTTCCAGCAAAAATGATCAAAAATGCAGCAGCAGGTGAGACGTGTTTTTTTTCCCTGAGGTTTCGTTGGAGGGTTTTTTGGCTTATCCATCTTATCCTCTGCAGCACTGGTGGCTTAGCCCAAACTCAGGTTGACTTTGGCAGATGACCCAGAGCGGCGGCCCCGAGCTTCGCCATGTGGACGGTGTGGTCCCATTTCTGTTGGCTGTCCTGCATCCTTCCCTGGTAAGTTTATACCTCCATATCTCCATACCTTTGCATCCGTATCCCACGTTTGTTGCTTGAGTCCGCAGTTCTGTTGGTGTAGTTATCCTCATGTTATCCTCATGTTTGATTGCTTCAGTCCCGAAAATATATGGTGATATGGGGATGGGTCAAAGCCATTCAAAACCTACTATTACCATACTTAGATAAAATTAGGGGAATAACCACCCATTAACCAACTATTTTTAGGGTACTTTTTTTTGTGCCAGGGTTTTGACCCATACCCATATGGTGATATCCTTATACGTTGATGCTTGTCCCTTTGTAGAATGTTTCTACGATTAAGTCCCCCAAAAAAAACCGGGTGGAATTTCATATTCGGTAGCCGGGGCGAGCAATGATAAATAATGATAACTATATCATCCCCACAAAAGATAGACAAGTAGAATCCCACTAAAACAATCCAAATATATTAATATATACAGTATATATATATCGCATTATATGGCTATATAATTATATAGATGGCTAGATAGAAAAGTAAGAAATCCAACTTTCAGTTCTATGCCATTCTATGCCCACATTACATGAAATAAATATTTTAAATCTACCCTGTTCATTAGATGGGGCATCCCCTGTCACAAGTGGATCCAATGAGGTTCGCGAAGAAGCCCGACTCTGCAACGGCTCTGCTGGTGCCCCGCGGTGGTGATTCTGAAGCACGCTTTGGACATGGCGCCAGTGGATTTGGGAATAGAACATTTTTGTAAACATCTTGTCAAGTCTTTGGTTTTGGCCTGAAAAATAATATAATATGTAAAACTGTAAAACATTGAAACCGTATGTCCGATTTTTTTCTCCTAGCCAAAGGTAGGATTCCTTCAACAAAAAATGTAAACGGTGAGAAATAATCTCAAGGAAGACATTCTCGAACAAAACACTCGAAAATTCGAAAAACCAATTCCCTTAGGATTCCTTCAACCAAAAATGTGAACAATGAGAATAAACACATTGTGCCCTCCGGTAGTCAAACGGTTCGTTGATTTTCGGGAACGAGACCTCCATGGCGGCCCCGGGATCTGTCCCCCACAATCCGTCACAGGATCCCGGTTGCGAAGAAGCAGCCGGTTGGGCGGAGCTGGGGCACTCAGCTGGGTGGGGCGATGTTTTGGAAAATGTTCGACATATAGTTCTGTTAAGTTCTGTTATGTTCTGTTAGTTTCAAAATCTGTCAAACATCGGTTTTGAATGTTGTTCATCACTTTAAGGTTGTGTTTTCTCCTGGCCCAGTTTCTTTTTCAGGACGTTTGATGTATTTAATTTGTGATGTTTGCTCCATGAGAATGTTCAATGTTTTGGGACAGTATTGTCTATACTGTAACGAAATTGTCAAAAAATGGCGTTTGGGGCTACAAGTAGTACCCCGGCAAGCCGGGGGCGGAAGTTTCAAAAATGAAACGCCTATAGCCTATAGAGCGGGACAAAACATGTGCCTATAGGGTGTGCGCAAGCCTTCGGCACTTTGCAGCAACAGTCTCTTGACATCTCAGTCCGGTGACATCTCTTTTCAAGGTCTGATTCTTTCGCATTTCATCTGAGCTCATCTCAGCTCTTCTCAATCTCAACTCAGCTAATTTTTATCCCCTATCATCTCATCTCATCTCACGTTGTGTCTTCTCAGCTTTCTTCACCTCATCTCATTTCATCTCATCTCATGTCTTCTCTCCTTTTCTCAGCTCTTCTCAGTGATCACAACGAATTATTCTCATCTTTTCTCATGTCATCTGAGCTTTTCTCATCTCCTCAGCTCATCTGAGTTCTTCTCTTTTCAGCTCTTCTCAGCTTCTCCATTCTACGCAGCTCGTCTCAGCTCAGCTCTTGTAAGCTCACTCTCAGATCATCTCAGTTCTTTTCTGGCCCAAAACCTGCTCCAACACCGGATCTCGGCGCTAAAGCCGAAAAAGTTCGATTTTGAAGCCTTTTTGAAAGCAAAAGTAAAAGGAAAATGGAAAGCGCCAAAAACATCCAAAAACGAGAAGAAACATCAAAAACTTATCCTTGCAACTTTGACGCAAGCATTCCAATGCGATTTGCAAGCAGCAAGTCGCAAAAGACTATGGAACTACGTGCGCAATAGCAGCATAGAGCAACAGTGACGCAACCACCCCAATGCGATTCGCAAGCAGCGAGCTACACTACGTGCGCACCAGCGACGCAGAGCAACTGTGATGCAGCCCCAATGCACTTTGCACCAGGTGGCAGAAGCCAATAGAATTACGTGAAAAGACAGAAGCTTGTCGGCCAATGTAATTCCCATCGCTTCTGGATGGAATTCACATGGATCGTGAAGACAAAGGATTGCACGGATACCCTGGAACCTGCTATAAAGCCAGAAAGCAAAATGTATGGATATGCGCAGGAAACGCAAGAAATGTCCGCAACGTCGTTCGCAGACCTTACCCATCCATCTTCAGAGGCACGTTTTGTATTGCAAAACATACGGTTTCGTGCATCCCCTATCTCTCAAAGACGCATTTCGTGCGAGACTTCCCTCAGAAACTGCAAGTTGAACTTGACCAAAAAAACGGATCTTCGTGTGAGAATTCCTTCGAACCAAAAAAACTTGACCAAAAAAACTTGACTGCAAGTTGAGATTTCCTTCGAAAACTGAAAACCAATTCCACCCTCAACCTGTGAAAACGAAGCTTTTGTGCGAGAATTCTTTGCTGTGAGACTTCTTTGCTATGAGATTTCTTGCGAAATTCCGTGCCACGGAAGTATAGACTTCCAAACTTCACCTGACAAATATCTATATGCTTTTTTGGGATGTTGTTTGCGAGTTGGAGAGCGCAAAAAATAAAAGTATCAAATTGGTTTTGTTTCGCAACTTCTGTTGCATGCAGAAAGTTCATTGGTACTTGTGGAATAGTGGGGATGCTGTGTGGTAGGGCATGGTAGGGCTGCAAGGATTCAGAAGTAGGATCACTGTGGTCATGTTCATGCCTTACCTGAGATTAGTGAAACAGCTTCGGAAGTAGATCATAAGATAACTACGGCTCCATCATATCATATTTGAGCATATCTAACTCCAAAAGGCACATGGATCTACATGATTAGTAAAAGGGAAACGATCCCAAAAAAATGGCTGGACTTTTCCAGGTTGCAAATTGCGGCCCCAAAAACCTGCGGCGAGCGACCGCAGGTATCGGTTGGAGTTGATGGCGCTGGCCTCCATTGACTGGCAGGTGCCAGGGATCAAGCTGGCCCGCTGGCCGTTTTGGTCACCTGTGAAGACTAACATGGAACCCTCCCCCAGAGACCCCAATTGGAAGATCTGTTTGATTCTGGAAAAAATCATGTGTTTGGTTTCCATGTTATAAATTTCTTGTGGTTGTTCATGGGGATCCTATCAACCAGCTTCAAGGTGATACCGGCCAATGATAGACGATTGAGATTCGACATTCATCGACATTCACCTTTCTGAAACCATCGAATTCCCCGCTGTTAGTAACTGAAGAAACCCACAAAACCCGTCTTTGTTGATCTGATAATCTGATATGTTTGAATCCTCCCCCCACCCAATGCTGCTGTTCCCCATGCTGGTGTCAGGATGCAGCTGCTTTAGCCTTTGCAGGGCGGCCTGATATGTTTCAGCCACAATATGTGGTTTTGAGAACGGATGGTGTTTGTTTCCATGTCGGATGATGAGGCAATGTTTACACGATCCAAGCACGTGACAAGTGGTTGGCAAGTTGTTGGAAGCCATGCCCAATGCATCCTTTAAATCAGGTTGAGTGGGTGAAAATTTGCTATGTGGGTTTTTGTTCGAAATTTGGATATACTGTTCCCCTAAATCCATTAATATTGATGAACCTTTAAAAAAATAGCCAGTTTGGAGCGTATTGACCTTTTTTTCAGACATATTCCGAACTGGCAGCGGGCAAGGACTGGATGAATGCACGTGACATGATGAAGTGACTCAGCTGATGAGAGCTGGGAAGTGTCAGCTGATTTACGAAAAACTCTCCATAAATGGAGGGGACAACAGTTGTGTCAGCTGATTGAAAACCCCGAAATTTGGTCAGTCCTTTCTGTCGGATTTTTCTACCAACAACAAATACCCCATGACTGCGCAGATCTCTTCGGGTCGGCAGCGTGTAAATTTTGTCCACATGGAATGCACGTCCAAGTTCTCTTGAAAAACATATCGATTATTCATGACGTTTTCCAGCTTTGATGCCCATTCTTTGTAAGTTGCCATTTGAGCAGTGGCTGCCAAACCCCTATGTGGTTGTAGTATCCTTATATTATAGGGTATGATCAGAATCCCATGGGAAATGCTAGAGGGTTTTGAACACTTCGCAAGTTCTGAATACTGCCCACCACATTATCTCCTTATAAGCCAACAGTTCGCCTTACGTTTCCCAATTTCTGTTAAATCCCCGATGTTTGTTGTATTTTGTTGCTCATGTGGCTATGACTCTATGACTATTCCGACCATTTCGCCGTTCCGATCGTTCCGATTCCCAGGACCAAAATCATGGACGAAGAAGCGAAGCACTGTCTGCCCGGCGTCATCACGTCCATCTACATGTTGGCGTAGGGTTCTCAAGAAGACGGCCAGTATTCTCGTGTCGCACAATGGAGAGAACATGAGAGAACTGATTTTCAGCTTGGAAACTCACCATTTCACATCACATGGGAGAAGAATATGATAATTTTAATTAATAATAATGTAATACATAACCTTTCCGCAGAAACTTTTGGATTCCCAGGATTTTCCATACTTCTGGCTGGCGCCAAGGCGGTGGTCGCTGGAGGTCGACGGAAGCTGGGAGTCGGCCGTCTACCTCGCCCGCACCCTGAGTGGCTACGCGTCACGCGCATGGACGATGGGCCAAGTGGGATGGCAGCGGGTCTGGTGGATGTGTCTATGGCTCTATGGGATGGGCATGGAATGGTTACCCTCTGGTAAACTAACATAACTATGGAAAATCACAATTTTTAATGGGAAAATCCACTATAAATTTAAATGGTCATGTTCAATAGCTACGTTAAATTACCAGAGGGTATAATAAGGTTGGAATCTAGACTCCAAAACATCCCAGAACCATCCCATCAGCATCTCGTTATTAGAACCGGGATCAAATAACAGCTACATAAAGGGGAGGACTTGGGCTACAGTACAACTACAGAATGTTATTGGGAAAATTCATGTTAGCATTTCCGATTTTCAGCTATTTTTCAACTTCAGATGCATTGGTTTTTGTAGTGCATATGTAGTGCATATTTTGAATTATTTTCCGAGTCAAATTAAGTTGTGTTCTGTATTTTGTAGCTGCAAAAAAGGTACCATGCATCGAATTTTGTAGTTGCGCACCCTATGCTTTGTGTCTTGTGCCTCAAAATCCTCTGCACAACTCCTCCCCCCTTATCTGAACCCTGATATTATTAGATGTAAATTTGGTGGGAGCTAGGCCATGTGCTTACGATAAGTTCACTTGACTTTGCCCTTTCTCGTCTTTTGCCCTCGCAAAAAAAAAAACATTCCATAGGAGCGAACTAGGGGTTAGAAAATCCTGGGTTGACCTTCGAGTTGTTTGAAGCTCTGGAACCATTTGGCACCCCATTGCATATTGTGGTTTAAGATATAATCTCATTGTTCCAGTTCAAGTTTCTATAACTTGGGAGAGAGCTATTAACTTAGGAGAAAAGTTCACCATTTTTTGAAACGGCTAACCATGGCTAAGCCTTCAGAACTCCATGGCTAAGCGGATCACTGCAGGTCCAGCATGCACCCTGAGAAGTTCGATCAAATCACTTCCAGTGGCCAGAGGTGGCCAATCACGGCTGGGAGACTCGGAAATTTGCCAGGCTGTGACGGGCGGACCCTCCGGTGTTCCATGGCTAGCTGGACAAATCCCAGAAAATTCCCTAATTTTTTTGGATGTTTCAATGGATTTTCCATTGCCACGTTGCCACACTGGGCGTGGTATTGGTTGAATTTGACTGACATGCACGTGGTAAAGCATCTGATTTGGGTACCACATTTTGGCCCATACCCTGCCGCACTTGCTACGGGGAGTAGTGACCCCAGTGATTTCTACCCTCAGCAGTTGCTAGACCGTGGAACAGGAATATACCAAAAATATTGAATTGTGTGCAAGAGCATTGCCTTCTCCAAAACATTGGGTTTGTCTAGTCGGTGTTTTTTGGCATTGACCCAATGGGAAATCCACCAGAATGGAGAATCCAAGTAAAGCAGCAGGTTAGTGCTGTTTGGGGGTCCATGGCACCTTTCGAAAGACGGCCATCGAAGAATGGTACCTCTTATTGCTTTCATTGCACCTGATATTTACTCCGACCAAACATCCATAAATTCAATCCCATCAGATCGAAGCTTGAACAAAAGAACAGGGAAAAAAGTAAAATCCTATGCATTTCGGTGGCTCAGGTGCGGTACTGTATTGGATCTATGTCGTCCATATATCCCCGTTTCATGATAAATAAAACTATGTGAAACCCCCCACGTTTGATGGCTAACCCCGAGAGAGATATCACAGCAACCCCAAACAAAAAGTGTATGTTAATAAAAATATTCAGATTCTTTGAGAAAAAAACAGATATGCCATAAAAATCAATTGACCAAAAGAGTCAAACATTACACCCCTCTGAGGTGGGAGACCTTGATGCAATGCGGTGGACCTTGGCCCGACAGTCTGCCAACAGGCCGTTCAGAATGGGATTCCCCTGACATGAACTGGAGCTTTGGCCATGGAAAATGGTGGTTTAACATGGGAAAATGGTAATTTAACATGGGTTTCACATGGGGGTTAGCCGCTAAGCCATGAGAAATGGAGCTTCACCATCAAAAATGCTGGTTTCGCATGGGAGCGGGGTGTTTAACATGGCTTAACATGGGAGCAATCATCGTGTAGCCTATGACATGTCTGAAATGTCTCCATGAAGGGATCGCCATGGGAGACAACCAAGGGAGGCATTGTTTTCTATTAGTATATAGTCAGCCCCAAGACATAAAAGTATCTAAGATCCGACTAAAATAAAAAATAAACATTATATATACTGGCTGGTGGTTTGGAACATGTTTTTCCATAATATATGGGAATCATCATCCCAACTGACGAACTCATATTTTTCAGAGGGGTTGAAACCCGTCGGACGCACGTGCTCCTGACCAGGACCACCAGCTCCTGGAAAAACCGGGCAGGCGAGAGCGCTTCGGCCGGAGATGGCCTTTTTTCGAGGAACTTCTGAAAGATGAAAAATATGACAAATTTATTTTTTATATATGTTTATTGGTTCAATTGGGAGCATTTCATAGGTTTGATATGATTTGATTAAGGGGGTTTAAAAGGACATCATCAGAACATAACCATATACAACCATCAACAGGGACTTGACATGATGTAACTATTTGGTGACCAAAAAATTGATGGAAAAGATGAAAGGTTACCTTCATTCAGGGTTTCTAGGAATTTGGATTAACTTAGTTCAAATTTCTCTCAGCAACCGCCGCAGTAGGATTTTGCACATGTCTCTCTACATCCCTTTTGGTTGCTATCAATTGTAGCGACCGAACACCGAGGGAAAGCATCCAACAAAAAGGTGTTTTGTTCAGATTTGAGAGAACCTCTGGAATTTCCCGGGGGTCTTCGATTTGGCACATGAGCTCAGAATACCTCTGAAAGATGCTGTGATGTTTCATGCCACAGTTTATTTGGGAGTTTTGGTGTTTTGCAGCAAAAACCAGTGGCGGCCAAGCACAATCTATTTCTGGATACATGTCACATGTGCACAATGATACGTACAAGATGGAGTATATATGGATATGCCTTAGATGTAGTCTCCGCCCACTAGATCCACTAGTGGAGACCACGAGAATGGTCACTTCTGTAGAATCCCCGTGTTCAGTATTGGTTACTAAAGTTTACTAAAGATTAAAGTAAAAATCTGCCGGAAACTTCTGCACTTGGGAGCCAAGACTTCTGTAGGAATTGTCCTTTAATGGTCATGTCTTTTCCCTTAAACCAATGCACTCCACTGTCGCTCATTTGGTGCGCTGAGGTTACGTGGGGAACGCCTTTGGCCTCATGGGCACCGATGCTTGGGAGTGACAACCATAGGCGGCCAGTGGTTAGGAGGAAGTGATTTGGAGCTATTTGGAGCTAGGGCTAGTCATATTCGTTAAATAAATTGGAGTCACAGGGATAGAAAGATAAACATTGGTTTAAAAAAAAACGCATTGAAGTCCAAACCACTGGAGGATGGAAATTCTTTGTTGAATGCGTTCAGACACCTCTTAGAGACTCGTCAGTTGGACAACAGAAAGGCTATCTGAGAAGTCGCTTGGAGCTGCGATGTTCCCTTCATCATTAGCTTTTGCAGGGGGTATCCAATAAACTTTCATTAGATAAATGTAATGAATTGACTTTGAACTAACTAATGTCAACCTGGATTAATAAACCCCAAACGGCTGTATAACATTGTATAATTACGGACCATTCAAGGATCAGATTTTCACTTTTGGGGGAATACCCCCTAATGAACCATGGTTTTGGAAAATCCGTGGTTGACATGTTTGTTAAATTTCCATGCATTAGCTTCCAACGTGGTCGAAGCTCTCAGCCAACGTTTTTAAATTTCAGGATGAGATCGAGCCCGGCATTGCCCTGCGGGAGTCCATGAAGGTCTACGTCTATGACGTGGAGGAGCACCGTTTTTTTGGATCGGGTTGGGATCTTGCCACGTTGGATCACGTTGGGATGGGCGAGGAATGATGAAATTTTGAACCATTTTTTTGTGCTTACCATCTGGTTATTTGTTACATAGCCATGGAAAGATCCACCATGCTATTAATAGGTAAACCATCTATTTCTATGGGCCATTTCCCATGGCTATGTTAAATAACCAGAGGGCAATTATAAAAATCATTTTTTTATATGACCATTTGCCAAAAATATTTAAGACAGAAGATTTGTACTAGTTGTTGATAATTAGTGTGAACCTAGTGGTTTTTCCTCGTCGTTATGAGGCGGCACGCAACAAAATTGGTGTTCGTATATTCATAAATAAATAGATATGTGATATATATATATATATATGCGTGTGTGTCTAACCATTATATATAGTTACAAAATGCCTGGACCTCCAATATATAATTGCAGAATCCCTACAAATCCACATGCAACTTGGGTTCAGTAGGAAATGTGAGATATATACTAGGTGTTGACTTGGGCAACTATAGATGTTTTGACTACCGGAGGGTCCCTGCAGGAGTATCCCGAATTGACCGTGCTGGCGAGGGGAGCTGCTTTCTGTCGTTGGGAGCCTTGAAAGTTCGCACTCAGATGGATAGCGGACTCGGTGGTTCACTCTAAGCCCTAGCTTATCTTCACGCACCGAATCCCTTCAGTATAAACCCAACACTTAAGCTAGTCACACCAGTTACAACCGGACATTGCCCCTACTTACCCTACTTACAATTGGGTTATAACATTCTACAACTCATTTCCCAACTTGGGTGAACCATCAAACGTACCCTGGTGTCATCGGGCTGGGCGGCTTAAGAAAATGTACAGGTGTCCTCTAGTTTTTTCTTCAACTCTAAGAAGCTGACAACATGCGCTTTGTTGGGTTGAAGCCTGTCATGCCCAAGCTTCAAAGGTTTGAACAAAGTAAATGGGATGCTCTGGCGGTGGAGTTGGTTAGTTTCATGGGTGGAACCAAGGGATATCAAGGGATTTAAACGCTCCTAAGTTGGGATCTGGGGCCCCATAACTATGCCTTGAAAGATTTTGAAAGTGTGCACAGTATACATTTGGGGGAGATTTATATATATATCCGCACTATATACATTGATCCCACTACTCTATATATATCTAATATTATATTATATTATTATATTATATTATATATATATATATATTTATATATATATATGTAATTATATATATATATATACATGATACACCCATGATGCCCCAAAGTGATGGTATTGCATAATATGCCTAATTTATGGACAATCCCCAAAATCATTTCGTTGGTTTGGATATCCTATTACTGTATTTGCCATTATATACCATGATGTTCCATTATATACTATCATGGCATGGTCTGCCAAAACAAATACTGGGGCATACATCCCGCTTAGAAACTGGAGTATACCCCCCAGTTATGAGTGGTTCAACCCTACTTAGCCCGTTTATAGCCAGGGCAAACTTTACAAAGTGGGATGTACATCTACATTACTGTTGGTCAATATTTAATTGCCTTCGGCAAGCCCGCCGGCCATAGAGAGGTGGCCCCAAGGGAGTTTGATGTGCATTCTAGGCGGAAGCCCGCGAGAGAGCAGAAGAGAAAAGAAGGAGAAGAAGAAGAAGAAGAGTAAGAAGAAGAATAAGAAGAAGAAGAAAGGAAGGAAGACGAAGACAAAGCCGTAAAGCGGAAGCGGCTTGTGTAGCAGGTTTGCTGTAACAACTTATTGACCGTATACCAAATTAGTACCGCCCCCAGCAAAGTAGCGCCAGGTACTATGTATGAGCCTCTGGCTTGACAGCAGACCGCTGCATGGAAGGAGACATGGGAGAGAGATTGCCCCAAGGGAGGTTGACGTGCACGCTATGTGGAAGCCTGAGAGAAGAAGAGACGAAGACAGAGCCGTAGATCAGAAGCAGCTTGAGTAGCAAGTGCGTGCTTGAACAACCACTGGAACGCATACCAAATCAGTACTGGTCGATCAGGACCGTGTGCGTCCTGTGACGAGTACCTGTAGACGACGGTAATGCTGTAGGCAGTGTCGTTAGCTGCCGGCACTACCAGTGTAGCACTTCGGGAAGAAGGAAGGAAGGAGTAGAGGAGTAGAGGGGCCGGAGTAGGCGTCGGAGTAGGCGCAGGAGTGGGAGTGGCAGTGGTAGTAGTAGTGGTAGTAGAAGTAGTCGTAGTAGAAGTAGTAGTTGTTGTTGTTGTTGTAGTTGTAGTAGTAGAGTATTAGAGTACTAGAGTACTAGAGTACTAGAGTACTAGAGTACTAGTATTCGTACTAGTATTCGTACTAGTACTCATACCAGTAGTACTAGTACAAGTAGTACTAGTACAAGTAGTACTAGTACAAGTAGTACTAGTACCAGTAGTACTAGTACCAGTAGTCAGTAGTACTAGTAGTACTAGTACCAGTAGTACTAGTACCAGTAGTACTTGGGGGGAGAACATTGATTCAGACGAAGCAAAAACGCGCAGAAAGAGAACAAAGGAACAAGTACAAGCCAAGAACAGAAACAAGAACAACACCTTCCAATCAGACACGCCGGCAGGCCGGCGGATTTCAAATCCCATTTTAATGATTATGAAGTTGACTCCCGCAGGATTTTTAAAACCACAAGGCTTGCTGGCATATACCATCCTTTTGCATCCTTTTGCTACCAATGAAAAGATGTGAAAATCCAACCTTTTGAAAGATCATTAAAACCAAGCGGGTCTCCCCTGGTTTTCCGAGTTTACCTGGTACCCAAAGGCCCAAAAACCGAGGTGAGAACCAATGGGGCTTCGAGGTCTCCTTACACGAGTTCTTTCTGGCCTGCCCCTGTCGCACCGACGACCCTGCCAAGGACATTGCCGGTGGTGACCAGTGCAACACCATATATACTGTTTGGGGTGGGAAAACTAAAAGCAAACTTTAATTGTTAAGCATGTTTTACGAAAAAAAAATGAGTAAACTGAATAAACTGGACTAAACTAAACTGTCAAACGTTGAGTGTGTGTGCGTGCGTGTGTTTAAATAAAGTTTGCTGGTAGGCTTATCACATGATGATGTCCTCCTGTCGTTTTAGTACTGGCTGGAACAGCATGGCTGTTGCAGAATCATCACTTTAAAAGATATCCGAAAATGGGTCCCATGGGCATTTCTGAATCTATAGGTTAGACACTGATTGGACCCTTGGCGGCCGCTAAGTCTTGTTTCGGAAGCCACATGGACTAGTGCTCATTTGCGGGGATTTGCGGACCCAATGGTTGTTGAAGGTGGTATCCCAATCACTGCTGGTTATAGGAGCATTAGGAGCCTCACACACAGAGACACGGAAAAAAAAAAGTATGTCATTGCTTTATCAATATTTTCAATGGATTTCACCCAATGTCTACCTTTTAAACGCTTTTTCGCTGGGTTGCTGATTACATGTGGGTTCGGCGATTGGGTACCTCCAGTCCATACTGTGGCATCAAAGATTTGTCAGCATGGAGGGCGCACACAATTCCCATGGATTATCATGACCTTCCAATTTTTACATTGCTATTTGAGGATAACATAGTATATATATATAACACCCAATTTTAGACACCCAAACAATGACAAACATCCTGTTGAATCCTATTGTTGGTTATAATTGTACCCCATTGTATCATTATTGTGTCTTGTATGGTACGCAGTATATGGACAATGACATATCCCAGCATATTATACAGCATCTATAATGAGTAGTATATCACATTATATCCCCATGATATCCCCATGAACATGTGTTATACCGTAGTCCCCGATTGTTTTGTTAGTACAATCCCCCTTAATATCACCATTGTTTGTTGGTTATAATAGGTTAGAATTATATCTCCTTATCCCCATTATAGACCCATTAAATCCCCATGATACCCTTTGGTAAACTAATATAGCTATAGAAGCCATGGCTTTTTTATCGTTGATTTACCTATGAAAATAGTTGACAGATGGCTTATCCCATTATAATCCCATTATTTGATTGCAGTGTTTCATAGCTACCCAATGGTTATAATAGACCCATGATATACCCTCTGGTAACATAGCTATGTTGCTATGTTACTTTACCCTATGGAAAATAAACATACTTTTTTAGGCAAGTATAGAGAAATCAGCTATAAATAGGCAATTTTCCATAGCTTTTTGTATGTTTACCATTGGGTATGTCCTTCTCGGAGGCCGACTTCTTCTTTGTACCCCACTACACCGCTTGCCACCTTAACGTCGAAAGCTTCACGGAGGCGTGCAGCTCTCGAAGATCGAAAGTTGTTCATCTCCCAATGATTTTGTTCAACAATTTGTCCAGTTTGATTCTGAATAATGGATGATATCCAAAGTATAACTGTTTTTTTGGATTTTCGGAATTCTATATATTTAAGCAATACTTGGGACATTCAGATGAAATGCTGATTCCAATGATTTTCCCGAATGCGTAGCGAAGGGTTCTTGTTTTCTTTCTTGGGGGTCTGGGGGTGGTGGATTGTTTGCTCGTCGTTTTCGTTCTTTTTCTCCAATCACGTCGTCCCGCTGTCTGTGGGGAAACTGAGAAAAGGTGATGTTTTGTGACGTGTGAAAGCACATTTCGCGTGGCAGGCATGGGACTTTGTGGCACTCAAGCGAAAGTTGCTTCACGGTGCTCTAATGTTTACACCGCGCGCTGTCTCTGGGGACACTGAGAAAAGGTGATGTTTTGTGACGTGTGAAAGCACATTTCGCGTGGCAGGCAGGAATTTGTGGCACTCAAGCGAAAGTTGCTTCGCGGTGCTCTGATGTTTACACAGCGTGCTGT